CAGGAAATTAAAAGACAAATTGCATTGGGAAAGTCTGCTGTCAGAGACCTCTCCAAATACTGAAGAGCAACGATGTCAGTCTGGAGAATAAGGTGCACCTGATCCAGGCCATGGCCTTTGCTATGCATCAGAAATCTTGACAATGACTAGGGATGATAGAAGGATAATTGATGCCTTTGAGCTGTGGTGCTGGAGAAGAGCATTGAATATAACATGGACTGCTAGGAGAACAAACAGGTTCATCCTAGAGAGGGTTAAACCAGGCTGCTCCTGGAGGCAAGGATTCTGAAGCTTCATCTGACATACTTTGGACATATTGCAAGGAGAGACCAATCCTTGGAGAGGGACGCCATGCTTGGGAGGGTGGAGGGACAGCATAAGAGAGGAAGACCCTCAATTAGATAGATTAATTCAGTGACTGGGGTAATGGGGATAAGTGTGTCAGGACAATAAGATTGGCACGGGACAGAGCAGGGTTTAGGGTTGTTGTACACAGGGGTGCTATGAGTTGCCGGTGACTCGACAGCACATAACAACAACTCTCTTATCTTGACTACTCCATATTCCAGAAGCAAGCATACATAGGTTAGGTTAGAGTCTGTACGGAGAACTACTATAGGAATGCTACCTCTTTAGAATCTCCGTCCTTGGGTAAGACGTTGACACTGTCCTTAACTCTTTACCTCATAACTGTCCAATACAGTATTCAGGTGGTAATCCAAATATTCCCCCTTTTTTGTCCCAACTCTCTTATTTCCATCCCTCTCATTCTAAGCAACAAAGTTTATCTACTTCAAAAGGGTGAGGGGAAGTGACGCCCAACACCTACAAAGTTATTGCCATTGCCATGATGATTTACTCTTCGCTTTTTTTTCTGATAAAGAAGCCTGCCTCTCCCTATCCAAGGTTACAACACCTTCTTTGTTTGGAAATCCATCTCCTCCACCTCCTTAGAAACTACTCCATTAATCATCCCCTCTGCCTCTTAAATTTCCAAACATCCTTTCCTTACAAAATCTTCCCCCAAAGGGTATAGAAGTGCACAGCTCTTCCCCATTTCACCCCAGCAAACTCCCTCACAGTCCAATATTTTTGAGAAACTAGCTTATAGCCACTTCTTAATCACCCTTACATTTTCAGTCCTTCACAACCAGCTTTCCTTTGTGTCACCCCTGAAACGGTATCTCTGATGCAGTCGGTTATCCTTATTTTCAAAAATCCAGTGGGAGATCATTCTGCCTTTGTCTGTTTCATTTTTTATTCATGCTTTCACGATAGGGGTGGGTGGGGCGGTAGGGCAGAAAGATGAGGTTCTCCCACAGCAGAAGGCAAAGTAGAGCCAAGTTATCTGCTGAAAGAGATATGGGCAGGGGCAAGGGACTTGAGAAGAAGGTGATGGCGGTGGAAGTGGTTGAATAATCATTTAAGAAGAAGGAGCAGAGGGGAGCTCTGGTGGCCTAGTGGCAAGAAGCTGCACTGCAACCCCAGAGATATGTGGTTCAAATCCACCAGATGCTCTGCCGGAGGAGGGGCCATCTCCTCCTGTACCATTCAGATCCGATTTGAC